ATCATCTAATACATTTCTTAAATGTCGTCTTCATCAATCAATCAATCAAAAACGATTCTGAATGTCGTCTTCATTGGGTCCAACAATTCCAACCAATCAGAACGCTCCATTCAGGTCACGTGATCACAAAATATCATCTAATAGGAGCATTCTGATTGGTCGCTGCTCGTGTCATCAAACTCTGCAGAATTCACTACTGAAGTCTGGTTTACAAAATAAAACTCTCTCTGTTTAGTCTATATCAATAAAACTCTCTCTGTTTAGTCTATATCAATAAAACTCTCTCTGTTTAGTCTATATCAATAAAACTCTCTCTCTACAGTCTATATCAATGCATTTTTCTAATCTGTGCCTATTCTTTCTAAATAAAAATAAGAAGGACTGAACCGAAAAAGTTTAAATTTTGTAGTCCAGTGGTCCACACAATCTTGCCTAGCTTTTTTTTTCTGCGCTCGAGTATTCACATTTAAAAAAATAAAAAACTTAAAAATATATAATTTTGAATTCAATGAGTATCAAATGTCAAAAAACAACACTTTTTCATCTTAATCTTACCATAATTATCAAAGTAGGGTTCCACGTAGGTAATTTGAATGTGAGCCTTATCTTGATCCAGTTTAGAGAGCTCCACCTGATATCAAACAAAAAACAATTAGAATCTGTGCTAGATAACCCATGATGTAACTACCAGCTACTAGCGCGCCGGTCAGAAGGCTCCAATGTCTACTTTGACCTCGGAAATTAATTCCTTGTCCCAATTTTGCTATAGTTTGATGTATCTCATACTTCTTTTATTCTGACTTGGCCAAACTTAGCAAATAAGTATTCAAAGATATTTTCTTTTATTGCGCGCGCGCGCGGACATTAAAGGCTTTGGAGGTGAATTTGTTGAGCGCATATTTTTTTCAAGAGTATCAGGATAAATGTTCAAGTGCAATTAATAAAGTTAAGATTGATTTACTGTCAAAAAGTCGTATTATTTCACAAAAAGCTCGCACTTTTACTCAGATCTGTTTAAAACCAAAAAATGCATGTAATATACATAATTTTAAGCTTACATGCAAAAAAATCAGCCTCCTAGGACAATGCTAAAATATGTTTAAACACTGTTTAAATTTCTTGGAGAGTAATACGGTTTAGTGCCCCCCAGGTCAATTCTAACAGAATATTTCCTTTATTATAAAACTAGGTGCTAGCTTGGGAACCCAACGCTGCCAAGGTTACTAAAGTTACTCCCGCCGTTTACCCGCACTTGAACGATTTTACCTTGAAACTAAACTTTCGCTATTAAGGTCGACCCACTCAACTGAAAATCTCAAAACAAAGCTTAGAACATTCCCGTGGGTCTCCCGAGTTCCCCAATCAAAATTTGAGACAACTCGGTCCAGGGGTTCTTGAGTTATGATCGAACAAACAGATAGACAGAAAACAGAGATTACAACTTTATATATGTAGATAATTTGTGCGGTTAATCGTTCTGGTTGGTTTATAAAAACTTTTAAAAAAACTTACAAGATTAAAAACTGTCCATATGATACGTTCATTTTTGGCACGTTTTTTTGCATAAATTTGGTATCAGGGTCGTCAACATTTGGCTTAGTGTAATATGTTTAAAATTAACAATTTGGAAAATATTTGCTATTCGTACACCCTGAAAGAAACTAAACAAGATGTTAATCATTGATAATAAAATAATTGACAGTATGATAACATCACCTGTTTTGAATCTTTGATAATCACAAGGTTGTCCTGACCGTATTTATTTCCTGAAAATTAAAACAAGAATTGATGATGAAAATTATTCTTGAATGTAATTAATATAATTAATATAATGAATATAATTAAACTATGTAAAAAGGGGATAAAAGGGACATTAATTTAAATTTCCCTTTAGAGCACAATGCCCGATTCATTTTTATCCTAACCCCGTTTTTCTATTTTGAAAACTTCTTACAAGTAACTTATGTAAAAAACCTACATCTGAAAAAAATCGTTTTTATAAAAGTATAAACATGGATATCTCATTCATAAATGATGAGATAAAGGTTTTGAGGGTACTGTATTGAATCGGACTGGTCACTTTACATTTCGCCAATCAACGTGTTTCTAAAGATGACGCATTTACGCACATAGAAGACGCACTATTGAGAACGCAATGCTGACGCATAAAACTGTGATATTCATGCATACAATTCAGTTTAACATACAGTGAAAACTAGAAAACAATGGAAAAGAAAGACGACATGAGAGCAATACTAAGTGTATTTAATGTTGTTACAAAGCAAATAGTTTTACTAGGTAACTAGATACTTATCAAATCACTGATTTAATTAAATGGGTCTGTTTACACTGTACATTTGCTATGTTTCATGCTCATTGGACCATTTAAATAACTTGAGTCTGAAGGTCGTCTTCATATTTCAAAGTTTTCTGGTTATCACTGTATAAAAAATGTTTAATGATAAGACAGCAATGATGATAATACCGTAAAAGTTCTCTAATCTCTGTGCAATCTCTGGTAGCTTTGTGAGCATTGGTTCTTTATAAACAAACTCTTCTCCATCCAGATCTCCAAATCTTACAAAGAGTAAATATTTTAAAAACTTAAAAAATATTTGATTTATGTTGTTTGTTAAATGCAGTGCTAAGGATTCAAAATAAAAAAGTATTTTTGAAAAACCTGTAAAAATAATTGAAAATATGATTTTGTTGTTTTATGCAGTGCTATGGATCAAAAAACTGTCTTTCAAAAACATGTAAAAATATTTATTTTTATGCCCTTAGAAAATATGAATTTTTGTTTAATGCAGTGCTAAGGATCCAGAATCAAAAAAAATATTTTTTAAAAACCTGTAAAATATTTTTTCATGCCATTGGAAATATGAAATTGTTTGTTTAATGCAGTGCTAAGGGTCCTGGATCAAGTTCATGATTATTTAACGATTTTCTGAACAAATAAATTTAATGCTGAAACTTAGTGAACCATCCAGAGAGTTTTAAATATTCGCTCATTAGTTAACAGTTAAGATCCAGGAAGCCCTAATGTTGCGGATCCGGATCCAGGAAGCCATAATATTGCGGATCCGAATCCAGGAAGCCATAACTTTGCGGATCCGGTTCCAGGATGCCAAAATGTTACGGATCCGGATCCAGGAAGCCATAATATTGCGGATCCGGATCCAGGAAGCATAATATTGCGAATCCGGATCCAGGAAGCCCTAATATTGCGGATCCGGATCCAGGAAACCAAAATGTTGCGGATCCGGATCCAGGAAGCCATAACTTTGCGGATCCGGATCCAAGAAGCCATAATGTTGCAGATCCGGATCCAGGAAGCCTTAATATTGCGGCTCCGGATCCAGGAAGCCATAATATTGCGGCTCCGGATCTAAGCACTGGTTAATGTTTATTCCTTGAAAATGAATATTCAATGATTATTGTATAAATATTAAGATATATTTCGCTTGTTTTCCATTATTGTCAAAAAGGCTAAACCTATAGAGCCAACATTTTTTTTTTGGTGGGGGAGGGGGCCTATCATGACCATTGACTACAAGTCAGTGTTATTAACTGAAAATTATTTCTGTCAAAAATATCGTTTTGTAAAATGAATTCGCTAATGAAAACAGAAAAATTCTGTGAATTCTTAGATTGCGATTTTTTTCTTCAAAATGATTCCAGGAAAAGCTAAACATGAAGAATAAATGAAAGAGAATATCTACCCCTGCACTGGGTTTAAACTTTAAGAATAAATGAAAGAGAATATCTACCCCTGCACTGGGTTTAAACTTAAAGAATAAATGTAAGAGAATATCTACCCCTGCACTGGGTTTAAACTTTAAGAATAAATGAAAGAGAATATCTACCCCTGCACTGGGTTTAAACTTGAAGAATAAATGAAAGAGAATATCTACCCCTGCACTGGATTTAAACTTTAAGAATAAATGAAAGAGAATATCTACCCCTGCACTGGGTTTAAATTTGAAGAATAAATGAAAGAGAATATCTACTCCTGCACTGGGTTTAAACTTAAAGAATAAATGAAAGAGAATATCTATCCCTGCACTAGGTTTAAACTTGAAGAATAAATGAAAGAGAATATCTACCCCTGCACTGGGTTTAAACTTAAAGAATAAATGAAAGAGAATATCTACCCCTGCACTAGGTTTAAACTTGAAGAATAAATGAAAAAAAATATCTACCCCTGCACTGGGTTTCCTACCTGGATCCATAGAATCCAACCCTGAAGTATGTGGAGAATACACGTTTACCCTGCAGGGAGTCAATCTTCTCAAAAGCTTTGGTCAGCTTCCTAAAAAGTAGAAACCTTGAGAAATTCTTAGATCACTAATAGTATAATAAGTATAATCAATTATGGGGAGCTGCAAGGTATTGTCAAATTAATTCAGGGGTTTACTGTTTTAAGAAAATTTTCTTTAAAAAAGTGGATTTTTTTTTTGAAATTTTTCCCATTAAAAATCATTTATTCTACCAAAAGTGAAATAAACCCTAAAATTTAATTTTTGCTCTCCGCGCAAAAATACTTCACATGTTTTGCAAATAGGGAGGCCAGAGGTGGACATTTTTCAATAAAATGTACAACCCTGTCAACATTTTCAACAGTGCTCTTAAAACCTTTATCAGACGAAAACTTGACGAAAAATCTCTAAATCCGGTTTTAATAGAAAAATTAATAACTCACAAATGCTGCTTTGAAGGTTGTGTTTAGAGGGCATTCAAAATTTGTCCTTGCCTCATTAAAAAATGTTCTAAGGTACACTAATGTGAATTTAAAATCACAAGATACTCATAAAAATGGATGTTTCACAGAAATCCCTGTTTGCCTCGTACACCTTCAATACTGACTTGTAGACTTCATTCACTGCCTAAACAAACATTTATTAGAAATATTTAGTAATTACTCAGAATTAAGGGACTGTAAGCGTAATTTTAAGTGAACCTCCAAGCAAGATGGAAATGCCTGATTTCCTGTGGTAACCTTGAATTTCTAGGTTTAAAAGTGTTTATTCCTGATATTCCTATATGTGTTCTTGCTGTAGAAATGCGCAAGTCAGGTTTTTTTAGAGAAAGCAGAATTCAAAATCAGTTTTTGAAATTAGAAACATTGATTTCCATTTCATACGTCGTCAACAAATCAAACAAATCTTTTCAAATCGAGCATTGCCATCATTTCACGGAGGGGCACTTTACGCTTACAGACCCTTTAAGTACTTTTCAAGTTGTAGAATAGCACTATCTCATACAAAAACTTCGGATGTTTGATGATTTGGGGAAATGAAAAATGGAACATCAAACGGCAAGTTTTTTCAATCTTTTGAAAAAGGGGGGGGGGGCCCTCCCCAGATAAAAGGGGATGGTGGAGTTGGCACATTTGATGTAGGGGGGGGGGGGCCTTGCCTTCATTTTTGGTTCAAATCTTCCAATTTTTTGG